TTATTCATTTGTGTGTCATTACTGAAATATGTAGGAGGGAGGATGAACAGTTAACTTTCTAGTGCCAGAAAATAACATTGGTGACCCTCTTCTCAGTCCACATTCTCCTACATACTTCCCCATGCCCCTCAACCATTCCCCCATATTCCTGAAGTGTGTGTGCTGCTGCCAGCTGACGTACGTAGCTGACGGTGTTTGCTAAAGCCAAGTCTTTGATTCAGACTGGAACCTGTTTCATGGGGAGGCTGGAACTGAGATCAAGAGACGCCCAGTTTGCTTCCAACAAGTCTCCTGGCAGACAAGATATTGGAGGGGGGGCTGGGGGGAGAGAGAGCAGACTGTTCCTTACAAACAAGCAGGCGAGAAATCGCAGGAGCAGAACAGCTCAAGGTGCTCCTGAGAGGAGCCGCTCCGGTGCGGGGTAGCCCAGCCCGAGTGCTCGGACCCCAGATCAGTCACACCAGTTAATGATGCCGTGCACACACTGCTGGTTTGCAGTGCTGGGAACTCTCAGTAAGATGGATTGCACTGCATAGAGAAAATGGAGATGTCTGAAACCAGCCAGAAAAGATCAGCATAAAAGGTAGGTTAATGTTCTGTTGCTAGGTGATCTAATAAGTTGGTCCATTTGCTGTTATTCTGTCGGGTGGTATTTATTTTTATATACATTCAATACATTATGAAAGATATAAATATATCAAGTCAGTGCTTTCTGGGGGGTTCTTTCTCAACATAAATTTTCCTCACATTTGGTCTCCTGCACTTTTTTTTACTTTAATACTTCTTGTTTCTCTGACCTCATTATTATTTTTGTGATTTGACATTGAAAATAGTTATTGCAACAGAAGCAACACAGCAGATTTCTTCGATTTTACAAAGTGTCAGATGGGGATGCTCAGGATGTAATGTTGCAGCCTAAAAGCAACAGTTCCATGTTCCTGGAAAAAAAATTGAAGCCTTCATTAAATAAGACTTACTCCTAAGTAGAGAGATAAACAGCTTCCTGGCAGAGAGGGTATGTTCTACTTTCTCTCTGTAGCCCAGTTACGGGTGTAAAATACAGAACAGGGTATGGAAGCCAAACCCATGAGCTATATAAGGCATCAAAGCACGGGAGGACACGACCTGTTTTCTTTTGTATCAGAATTCAGTTCAGCATGAACCAGGAGGGCAGAGCTCGGAGGGGGAAATGGTGTTAGATTAACAAGTTACGTTGTAGCAAGACCTTGTGAGCCTTTTTTGTTTTACAGGTCCTTAAAAGTATTTTCAGCAGAGATGAGTATTCTGTGTAACAAAAATTTATCCATTCTGAAATTCAGTTCTTAGGCCCGACAGTGGAGCATTGAACCAAGCGTGGGCAAACTGAACCCAAGTGTGGGCTCTTCTTTAGCTTTGAATCTCTTTTTAGTGTGTCAGCATGTGCATGTTAGGTCAAAATGTGAGCTAAAATGTGTGCCTCAGCAGACCAAGAGTGATGGCTCTCACCAGGATAGAATCAGATCTGAATTTATATTTGATTTCTCTATGTATGTTTCTCTGTTCTGACATAGATATAGTGTCTTGTTGCTGTTAGGAAGGGTCTCATTTCTACCTGTGCCTCAGTCTCTGCAACCACTCTGGAGCATGCATAGGAAATGTTAGCTAGTACTGTTCAGGAAGGTGGTACCTCACTCTCTTTAATTCATAAACAGCATTGGAGCGGGTGGAAGCCAAAAGTAGCCTTGCAGCAAAGCTGATTTCTTCTCTAGGCACAAGTATCACACACACAATTTAAAAAAAAAAAAAAAAAAAAAAAGAAGGTGGGGGAGAAGATCCTCTATCACAATTCATAGATGTTGAGATCTGGATTTCCTGTAAACACTTTTGTCTTATTGCTGGTTCTATGCTGAGAAGGAGATACTAATTTTTTGGTCCCCTAAAGCTGATGGCATTTTTAACAAATATCCTCTTTCTTAAAAAAAAAAAAAAAAGAAAAAAAAAAAAATCAATAGAAGATGCAAATAAATAATAAAAGAATGGTTGATTTGTTTGAAAATTTTCCAGGAAACAGTAGGGGTTATATGAGAGTCAGCCTGGGCCCAACAGAGCGGGCATTGAACCAGACCTAATAAGAACAACTGGACCCAACACCCATATTATGTTCAGTAATGGAGGGGTTTTGTACTACAAGGACTTCAGTGTTGTAATCTTAATGGCTAGAGGTAACAAACCAGGCTGAAAGGAAAGAGGAAAAACTAAAGTCCAAGGCAATTAGAAAAATCTCTTTCGTGGATTTTGGGTATTGCCAGTCACATTTGTGCCATTTTTACAGATGAATGGGCTTTTCTGTCACTGTAAGAATGAATTGTAAAGTAATGGACTTGAACTAATTATGTCCTATAAACCTATAATAATAACAATAAATATGTTTTGAAGTTCAGACATGCATGTAGTTGATCCAGCCAACTGAGCTGATCAGCAGCTGAGCAAGTCTCCTACTTGGGGTTAACAGTTCAGATTTTAGGGAAATAAATGGTCAGATAAGACAACTCCAGGGAAGGAGGAAAAGAGCAGGAGTCACGGCTGGTCACCAGGTCAAGCAAGGCTCTTGCTATCTGCTTTTGTAGACTGCTTTTAGTTACCTGCAGGTGATGGAAGGTGTCTGTTCTGGCTCAGATGGAGGTTCTTCTCTCAGCACAGATGGAGAGCAGTGAAGGCTGACAGGTCTGGTCTCAAGATTTTCTTACCTTGTGGCATTTAGCCAGTGATCTCATGGTCTTATGTTTTCTCCTGATGCTTGTTTTCTTTTTCTTCTTAAACCTCACCATTTTGGGCAGGGGGGAAAGGGAAGGTACACACAGGGCACTGGAGCAGCGACATAATACACAATTACATTTATAAGGGTGTTTTTCCTAAGCTGAGCGGTGGTCAGGTCCCCAGACACCATCCCGAGAGTTAATTCTTTAGAAAAACTTAAGCTCCTTTCATACTACTACCAGATTTTTCCCAAACTCTCACTTTGAAGCAAACCCCTTGTTTTCTCCCCAGCATCCTTAAACTGATCACACATCCCAGGCTTTCCAGGGGTCAGTCAGCAAATGCTGAATGAACTTGTACTGCACCCAAGCAGCAAATGCAAAACTCACCAATGTGTTTCCTCAGCCTCTGGAATGAAGCCATCAGAGTTCATGGAGCTTGTCTCCAGGATGTGAGTTATACATCCCAGAGCATGGTATGTTCATCCAGCATGCCAGGTACCTCCTGGGAGCTCTGTGTGTGCAGCTGGATAATGTTGCATCCCAGATGATGTTTTCTTTTTCTCTCTTTCTGTGGAAAAAAAAAAAAAAGGCAGGAAGAGCAAAACCAATTAAACCTGTAGGAACTGTTGTGTTTCATCTCAATCCCAAATTTTATCATAATCTGTAGTATACAAGAAAGTCATAGACATAGTTTTCTTGGCTCTTACCTGCTAGTGCTTTCCCAGCTCTGTTGGTGGTTTCTGTCTGGGGTTTCATACTTGGTTACAGGGCTGCAGTGCCCCAGGATTTTATCCTTGTGCTGTCCCTTGCAATGTCAGCAAAGCCATTTGGGAATCAGTGTGGGAAACTGGCTGAAAACCAGTTTGCATCCTCCTGCCAGCCTGGGTCCTGGTGTGGCTGAGCAGCAGAGGGTGTTACAAGGACCGGAAGGACTTGCTGCAGGCAGGAGGAGGGCTTGGGCTGCTGAAGCTGGTTTTGACAGGGATTCCCAGTGTTCCACCTGGGAAATATGTGAGATTACAGTGGAGGCAGTTTGGATGCGCCTGTTGGCTCACTGTTCACAGAATACCCCAAATGGCAATTGCAGTGACACAAATGAGGAATGGGTGAGCTGTGCCACAGAGCAAGGACACTTTGATCCACTGATAACAGAATGTCAAACCACACTGTTGAACACTGCTTGACTTGGGCTTTTTTCCTCTGAAGCTGTGAATTTACATACCAAATATTTTTTCATGCAAATATTTCTATATTAAATGTATTATTGACTGTAGACATTTGCATGTTAAAATGTATTTTCATAATACACTTATCTTGTCCTTCAAATCCTGCTTCTCTTTGTTCCTCAAACCTGAGAAAGTGTCCCTCTTCAGTAGCTTTTGAGGAATGGTGTTCTTGAGTGTGCTTTTGAGCCTGATTCTTCGTATGAAAATTCAGGTGTCTGCTTCTTTCCTTTTGATCCAGTTTTGTTTGTGTTTACAAATGCTTATCAGGTTTTTTAATGAGAATTTTAAGCTTTCTACCAAGACATGAAAGTATTTTTGTTGGATTTTTTTTTTCTTTTCCTAATGTAATGAGCTTCAGTGAGAATCTTTGCATACAATTGCACACAAAAGGAGAAAATCTAAAGCTCAGCTGTTTGCCATGGATGTGGCCTCAGTGCTGTGTAAGCCAACATACAACCTCTGCAGTTCCCAGTGTTTTGTGAAAGAGCAGGCATCAGCTGGAGCTCAGTGGAAATTCCCTGGTGGTCCTTGAGTGTCCTGAAGCCTTGTCTTTAAGCTGTGGTTATGAGATGCTTTGAAAATGCTGTAATTGAGGAATTTCTTCATTCAAGCTGGGAGATGAGCTCTGAGCAGATATTAAACAGGCCTTCTCTTCTGGGTGTTTGCTTGAACAGCTCAGGAAGGAGAGCTATAAAAAACCTTGGGAAGTGATAAGTGTAGTGTAAAATTACAGAGGAAAGTTTGTCATAAAATGTACAATGGTCATTTCGAATGTCACTCCTAATTGTAGGCTTTTTGGTTTTTATTTTCCCTCAAATAAAGTTTATGCATTATCAGAGAACTTACTAATGGTTTTTAACTATTTTTTCTAAAATTTTTTCCTAAATTTTCTGATTGTGATAGCTACTCACTTGTTCTCTTTTCATTTTAGATAATCTGCAGAGATGCAAAGGGACGTTAGTTGTGTCCAGACTTGGAAGTTCCATGCACTGGCCTCCTTTAACTGACATTTTTCCCTGCTTTCCTTTTGTTTCAGGGGAAGCCTTCCCTGCACAGTGTTGAAGCATGAGTGCTGATGCCAGCCAGGTGGTGATCACTACTCCTCCCCCCGCCACGATGCCTCACAAAGAGCGGTACTTCGATCGCATCAACGAGAATGACCCGGAGTACATCCGGGAGAGAAACATGTCCCCTGACCTCAGACAGGACTTCAATATGATGGAGCAGAGGAAGAGGGTCACCCAGATACTGCAGAGCCCTGTGAGTGCCCCTAATGGGGGGTAAAATGGAAAGGCTGTTATGAAAAAAGAAATCTGTGTCACAGCTAGTTGGAATATCTCTGCACCATCTTCTGTGAAAAGTCACTAAACAGATTATCCAGCATTTTGTTGGTGTGGTGTTTTGTTTGTGGACAACAGCCTTTATAGTGTTGTTTTTTTCTCCTGATACTTTTATATTCTTATGGTTCATTGCGTTGTTACAGAAAGATGTGGCTGGCTGCAGGGTTCCTAATTAAAACTTAGGGACGGGGAAGAGAGTGAAGGAGTCACTGGTCAAATAGGAACAAATTAGGGCATTACGTGGTGTTCTGCTTTCTGGGTTTGAATATTAACCTATCATTTGCATCAGGAATGCTTTAATTAACATTCGTAATTGGGTTAAGTTTATTTAAAAGCTAGACTATGTTCTTTTTATGTCCTTGAGGGCGATCATACCCCTACTTGGCCATATCAGTTCTCATCTACTGGTTGTGTAAGTTCAGTACTTGTGTAGACTGCATATAAAACTATTCAATCTATTGAACCATGTTCATGGTAGTTTTAATTTATATTTTAATACCTGTATTCTTTGAGTTTAACCTGATGAGTACATTGGAAAGTAATGCTGTTGCCTTGAGTATTTTGAAGGCATAGGGAGTGAGTAAGGCCTGTGCAATGATCCTTTAGGGGTATCCATGTGTAATGCAAGTTTTGAGGATAATGGGACTGAGAAGGGGCTAAGCAGCTTTACAGATCCTTCTGTCTTCAGTTCCTCTGTAAATTGGGGTGCTTCTGTAATTTTTTAAGCTTTTCCATATGTAAAGAGATTGCAAACAGCTGTTAGTAATCACCCTATTATAGTTATCCATGAATAACAGGATTGTTTGCTAAAGTGTTGTCCTGGAGTGTCTCTTGGATCTGTGTTGCTTTGAGTATAACGTGAACCTGTTGACTAAGGAATTTATTATTTTTCAAGTCAATTTGTGCAAGCTTGGGTTTGCAGCCAGGCTCTTTTATAAGGAAAATACTCTAAAGAGGTACTGCATAATGTTTAATCATGATAATTTTATGTTAAATACTCAGTTGTAAAATGTGATCAGAGTCTACTCATTCCTGTTAAAATATTCACATTATGAGTAGCCAGGACTCACAGAAAGACAAAATCTTTAGCCTACCAGGTAAAAATAAGTTGGAGAGATCATTTGGTTTTGCATGCGATGGTGGGTTTTGGGTCCTTTTGATGACCAGCATTGAATCTGATGAATGTAACTATTTCATCAACATTTTGGGGCATCTTTTGCCAAGTCTGCCAGATGTAATTAAAGTCCCTTTGCTGCAGCCTCTGTGGTGTTTTTCTGAGTAGATGCAGTGTCAGCATGCAGATTTTCAGAAGGGGTGTGAAGAGGGGTATGAACCCCTGAGTTTTTAGGCTGCTGTTTTAACAGAAGATTGTGGGACAGAGAGCTGCTGGGCTGCTGTCAGTTTCCTGCTGCAAGAGAAGCTGAGCCCAGCACTTTTTGGAAAGTGACTGTTCAGCGCTGCCAATAAGTTGCAAGTTTTTGTTGTGTAAGGGAACAGTTGTCCAAATAAGCCAGGGTCCTGCTGCCTGCTTGGCTTAGAGAGAAATGGGAATGTGGGAGCTGAGTGTGGGATCAGGCACGAAGAGGAGTTGTCTGAGCTCCCACTTCCCCTCAAGTATCTCCTTTTATCCTCCCTTTTCCTGATACAGAAAATTTAGAGGAACTCTGCAGTGATTTCTCACGCAAGGAAATGAAAGCATTTTTATACAGTATGCGTGAGCAAATGTCCATCAAGTGAATTTCAGAATTTATTTGGGGTGGAAGGTGCAGTGTGCCAGGCTCCAGCTGCTGTGTGCCATACTGTTCCTGGGACTCAGGACTGAAAACATTTACCTTGTTCTCTTGAATTTAAAATTCATCACACAATGGCCAGAAAGCCATTGTTCCTGTTACCAGTCTGTGTAACACGGGTTCAGGATTGAATTGATGAGCATTGTCCATAGTGTTTTTGTTCTATGGCTGCAGAATTACATTGTGTTAGATATTTTCATGGAACTTTGTTGCTTTTCTGGATTGTTCCACTTGACAGAGAGAATATAGTTGTAAGGTGTTTAGAAGAAGAGAAATTATGAGACATAGTTTAAGGAAGAGCTTGCTTTGCTGGTAAATCTTCACCCAGTCATATATATAAATGCATTCAGATCAAAGAAATAGTCAGTGACTCCTCTTCTAGCAAGTATTAGTAAATGTGAAGTGTACCTAGCAAGGATAGTAACTGTCTTAAAAGTACAAAAGCATGTTGTGGTGGTGATGAGGTGAGCTTTGAACATGCACTTTCGGTGAGCAGAGGTGCAAAACTAAAGGGTTAATCACTGTCACATAGTAGGAAGCTTAGGTACTAATTTAATCTGGTTTTATTAACAAGCTTTTTTTCTTTCTTTCAAGTAGGAAAATCTAAATCCTTTAGCAAGAAAATAAATTAGAGAATATATTTCAGGAACCACAGTATATTTTACTCAGTGCATTTTGTTGTAAGGGCTACAGGCCTGACCAGACATCTTCAGACATCAAGCTGCTGCATCTCTCTGATGTACTGTTTGGTGCCCATACTGGTGCAATCTGACTACTCCTCTCTGATGTGCAATTTCCCTTTCCTAAATTAAATAATTTAAAAGCTACTGAAAAACTATTTCCATTACTTCTGATGTTTGCTGATGCCTTGGAGTCTGTTCATATTAAACCTTAAACAAATCATAGTTGTTTTCTGACCATTGCCCATGGAGAATGTCCTGACATTATCAGTGAGTTCTCAGATATGTTTGCCTAATGCTGCATGTAGCCCCTGAGTATCTGATAGCCTGGAGAATCTGATAAACTGAACATGTTTGCTCTTCTGTGTCTGTTAGAAAGGTGGAAAGAAATTAAAATCAGCTGGGGCTGAGCAGCCTGATAGCTTCCAGAAGTACTGCTAGCCCATCTTAGCACAAAGCCATTTAGGTTTATTTTAGTAACATCTTCAGTTTCAGAAGATTTAGGTAGCATGTTGTTATTTTTAAAGAAAGGTAGTACATTCATGCAGTGCACTAGTTTTATTGCTTATTGGGCTCAAGATACTTGCCCTGTAATATATCCAGAATCAGAAAAGATGAGTTGGTGGTTTTGGGGTTTTTTATATTTTCCAACTTAACTCTGCAATTAAAGACAGTTTTGTCTGTATACTAAACAGTCATATGTTGCTTGTTACACAGAGTTACTGTGTTTTTCACAGACCAAAAATATATTTGCTGTACCATCAAACTCCTTATTTCACTTATGGTATACTTCTGGCCTTTATTTCCTTCTAGCATTTCTCTGGTGCTGTCACCGTAGCAACCAAAAACTCTTAAAACACTTTTTAAAAAAAGGGCAGTGGTTGTGCAGTTATGGTGTTTATGAAAACTGAAAAGCCAGTTTAGCACTGAGGAGCTGAGTGAACATACAGATACAGGTGGGGAGAAGATCCCCACAGGCGTGGTGAAGCAGGGAAGGTGTTGGATGTTTCTGCAGGCAGGCAGCAATGTCACACTGCTTCCAGTGCAGTGAGACCATGTGAAACCATTATCCACCCAGCAGAAAAGCTAACTACAGGCTTCAGCTAGCAGGATAATGTGCGTGTATATATTTATTTATTCCTTATATATATGTTCATTCTTTTTACTAATGTAAGAAGAAGTTGTGTCTGAAGCAATGAGCTGAACAGCTGTTTCATGTAAACATAAAAATGCACGGTTATTGAAATCTAAATGTGCAGTTTAAGTTTTTAATTTACCAGTGAAGTTTTGTGTGGCTTCTTGAGACCCATTGGAAGTGCGCTGGCTATTTTTACATATAAAACACAGCTATTTGGAGCTTGGGGTTTGTTTTTTTTTCTTCAGTTGAGCTCTGTGTTGACAGGATCCCATCAGGCTTTACTTTAATTTTGTGCTGGATCTAGAGAGTGTCTACCAACCCACTGTGACTCTGCAGGGAATTCAGGGCCAGTCTGGCTTGGTACTGCTATTGCAGGAAGGCTCAGGTGAAACTATCCAGACTGCAAAATTTTGGTAGGTTAAAAATGTACTTCTCTACTGTGCCTCCCTTCCTGCCTTGCACATGCACACACCCCCCTGCCTCCCACATTAGTCGGTCTTGCCCAAAAGAAAGTGGGGAGATAACTATACAGCTTAGCAACTCTTCTATTCAGAGGTCTGCCTTAGCATGCAGGCAGATTTTTCTCCTCAAAAACAAGCAATCCCACCCACACTTGAATTTTTTTCCTGGATATGTTATTTTCAAACCATCAGGACAGAGATGAAGGATGATTTAATTTATTTTTTCCCCAGCTTTTACAGTTGTTTAGTTTACTTTATTTTGTATTGAGTGAACATCCAGTATTTTTGCAATACCACTCCCTTTTGGGGCAGTTTATTTTCTTAAAAATATCAAAGTCCTTTCAGTTCCTCATATGTTTTGGCTTTTACTGCTCTTTTCTCAGAAGTTCAAAAGTCTTTCACATCCTTCAGAAGCCTCACCCTTTGGCCACAAAGGACTCACAACCTTTTGCATCACCTGAGGACCTCCTCACTGGGCAGTCCTCTCACCCTGCAGCTCCCTGCTCTGGCTTTTGTCTTCTCTGACATCTTCCCAATGTCCTGCTGGGAAGTCATGACTCTCCTCCCACTGCAATCGCTTATTTAGTTGCATGCTTTCATCATACAACCTGTGCAGCATTTTGTTCATTCAGAGGCAAGGGCCTCAACTTGTCACATCATTGAAGACATACTACAAAATGTCCCTTAAAGATCCCCTGTGCACTGTGACGACTTTTTAAGTGAGAGGGAGTTTGTGTCAGGGTAACATTGTCTCAAATGAAGGCCATCCACTAGGTCTCTGTGAGGACCCAAGAAATCCCCCAGCCCAGCTATCATTCATTTCTGTTGCTGTGATGAGCACTGTAAATTCA